AGTGTCATCATTCGACCCTATAGCCACATTTGCCTAACCTCTCATATTACTCTTCTTCTTATCCTTTTTCTTGGGACAATTCCTCAAAAAGTGTCCAAACTTATCACAGCTGTAACACCACTTACCATAGGATTTGTCCCAACCCTTACCCTTCTTCTTACCACCTTCCTCACTTGAGTCTCCACTCGAAGATGTCTTGAGCTCTACCCAAATTTATTTACTTATACTTCATTCTACTCTTCATCATATGTAATTCACCACTCCTCTTATCCTCTTTTTCAGCCTTAATCTTCATCTCTTTACTTTTAAGAGAATCGATACAATCTCAGGTATTAAGGTGCTCCTACCATACTTAATCACATTCTTAACCTCTCTATATAAATCAAACATAGAATTGAGAAAAATGATGGCCTTACAAGTTTCAGATAGGTCTTTTCATCACAGTTAACAATATTTTGAACAAACCTGTTAAAAAAATATCCAAATTGTTGTCAAGATCCTTTGAAGGAGCCATTTTAAAATTGAAAAATATTTCAAGCAAGTACAACTTATTAGGAGTAGACTTGAGAAAATATAGATCTTTCAACTTTTTTCAAAGTTCTTACACAATATCAAATTTACCAACTTTTCTAAAAAAATTGTAAAATAATTGAAGTGTAAACAAGTTCATCATATTCTTCTTTTTGTGCTTTTGTCAAATTTGCAAAAAATTGCTATATATGATTTTTGAAACTCTTTGTTGAACCAAAATTTACTTCATCTTTTGTTGTCAAATTGAAAAATCTCCTTTCGAAATTCCAACTTTGAAATGTGAAAATATTTTGAAAAATAGAACTAAAGTGCAAAAATAGATCATACAAAGTAAGCCTAAGATCGCAGTATACATCGTTCTAGATTCTCAGGGTTTCGTGAGATTCGAGATCTCGGTATCAAGAAAATTTTCAAATTGGTCAAATCCAAGTGTTCAAACATAATAATCAGCGTAACACAAAAGTATATCAACAAAAATTCAAATTTTCATGCAATGCAATCTCACACAGTGACTAAACGACAAGTAAAGCACAAAATTAATTACCAACTTGCAATCAAATTCAACATTTCAAATATGGCAAATAATTCCTAAATTTCTAGCACAAGCAATGGTTATCCCACACGGTAACCCCAATCCTAAGTCACCTGACACAATGTCGTGCTAATGCTGAAATTTAAATTGGGATAAGCCAATATACCAGAGTGGACCAATTGGAGTCCGTAAATAACGAAAGATGCAAATTTATCACTTTATGGCCATTACTATTTCCCCTAAAATCTCCAACAATCGCAAAAGTCAATCAACCACGATCGAATCCCATCCTCCGATATGAGGCAAGCCTCACTTGGGATTCATCCCTTCTTTTATCTAGAAAATCCAACTCGTATCTTTTCAACTCATCATTGGATATTTCGTTGAATTGCAATCGACGGGGAGAGGGTAAACCGACTTCTACTGGACTCATTGCCTATGCATCGTAAACCATAAAAAATGGGGTTTCTCTTGTTGGGGTTCAACTCGTAGTCCTAATCGCTCATAACACTTGTGGCAATTCGTCTACCCACGCTCCCTTAGAGGCATCAAGCTTCTTCTTCAAGTTATACTTTATGGTTTTGTTCACAGCTAACTCCATTTGCTTGAGAGTGATGAGGCATTGAAAAATTCTTTTCAATCTCGAGCTCTTCAATAAGTCCCTGACCTTTTTGTTGTGAAATTGATGCCCGTTGTCAGACAATCGACTGGGAATCGATTTCAAACTGGCATATGATATTTTTCCATAAGAACTTAGCAAATGTTGGCTTCTGTAGTTTTTGCCAGAGGTTTGGCCTCGACCTATTTCGTGAAGTAGTCGACAACGATAATAGCAAAACTTGCGCTAACCACCTAAATGGTAGAGGGCCTATAAGGCCAATACCCCTTTGTAACAAAACCTTAGATTTGGCCTTATTATAAGTAATGCATCTACTACAAATGCAATTAGCATCCTTTTTCATTCTAAGCCAATAAAGGTGCTCATGCAACATTTCTATGGTTTTCCTGACACTGAAATGCCCCCATCAATCCCCCACCATGTGCTTCACACGCTAACAATTCACGCATGGAACAATTAGGCACACATAATTTATTGCATTAAACTACTTATACATCTTGCTTTACACCCTAAATAGGTGGCAGTTTTTTTAATGAATGGATTAAAGTTTTTTTTTTTTTTTTTTTTT